TAGTGTTTGTACAAGTAGCTGCCACCAGTTACCGTGTGAGCTGCAGCCAAGGCAACAGCTGTGGGTGTGACATTTCTAACCCAGCTCTGTCTGGTTAACACGAGAACAGCTCATTAGTGTTTCATGGGAATATCTTTGCTGTGTACCGAGGCGGCTGCTTGCTGTAATGCACGGGAGGTTAACGGGCTGGGGGATGTAATTAGAGAACACAAATCGTCTGGAATCTGGCACAAATTGGGTCAAACTGTTTTCCTTTCCTGAACTTTTAATGACAAACATGCAAGAGAGAAGCAGCTTGCTGCACCGAGGCTTGGAGGTGCTCAGGGTCACCCTAACCCCGTACCCCGTACCTGGCAAGAGCTAACGCTACAGCAAAGCCCGGCATTAACGCCGCTCCCTTCCTATCACCCTCTCACATGTTTTTAAATACTGGCTTGCAGCACGGGAGCGGGGTGGAAGCCTTTTCCAATCATGCACCAGTCACAATATTTGCTAGTTTACCAAAAAGCCTCGTTTCTGCAGGCAGGAGTGCGGCAGGATAGCGTGCGCGGGCCGATGGCCATCCCGTTGCAATGCCGGTGCCTTTGGGTGCTGCAGCTGCTCTGGAAAGAGGCGAGGGCAGAGATGGGCAGAGGCAGAGAGCTGCCAAGCAGGGTTAAAAACTGCTTAATAAAAAGAAAAATAAAGTAAAAAAAAAAAAAAGAATTTACAGTTCTACCGGTTACTGGGGAAAACTTGAAACTGGCACCCTGAAAGTCCCTTGGAGACCTCGTAATCAGGAAGTGAAGGGAATGGACCTTCGGTTCAGTGTCTTTCTGACCCAGTTTTGGCAGCAGGCACAGCCTCCCAGTGCGGGAGCTCCAAAACTGGGTTTTCTTTCAAACTGGGATTTTGCTACTGCAGCCCCGGGCAGCGAAACCTGCGTCCCAGTGCCCAGGGCTCAGCTGTGTCACCACAGGCACGAGCAGAGCAGCAATGTGGCATCACTGAGCTGTCACATCGGTGCCACCAGGTCTGGCCTGCATCCAGCCGGTGAGCTCAACACAGCTGCCCAGCTCCCCTGGCACCCTCGGGGGTATCGGTTTGCCAAACGAGGCTGGAGGAGCTTTTACTTTTTTACCTTTGCTGTACAGACTCATTACGTTGGAAAGCTTCCTCCCCGCCCCGCCCCACCAAATAAATATTCCTTGCAATATTCCAAAGCAAAATTTATTTATGAAGCAGCCTTGGCAGCGCTCGTGCCCCGTCAGGTGGGCGCTGGCTTTCGCCACCAGCGCTGCCGCCGGCCCCAGTTTGGCATTAAGAGTATTTTTCCTGAGAATACCCAAAATGGGAGTTGACTTTGGTATCCGTTTAGGGCTCCCAAAGATTAATTGGTTTGTTTATCCGAACAGCAACAAGCTTCAAAATTGCCCAAAGGAGAGCCGCCTGTTACACTTGTGCAACTCCACTGAAGTGTTTCAATGCAAGGCTTTCCCCAAAACTGGAAGCATTCAAAAAGAAAGCTAACAAACAGAAAATCAAACGAAAACTAACTCTACAGCATTTAGATCTCAGACGCTCAACCAAGCCTTGCAGAACTAATAACTCGTGTTTTCCTTGGCAGCTTGGGCACCGCTGCTCTTGCTGTTTTCTTTTGCTATTAATCCCATTTGGTTACGGTTTTCGTGCACTCAGGAATGCTGATTCACCGCGCTCTCTCGCGGGAGTACAAGTACAGGAGACCGGGATGGTTTAACCAGAGCCATCCTCAGAAGGGCTTGGAAGAAACCTACGGCAGTTTTGCGAAGAGACAAACAAGCGTTCAAAGGTGCATCTTTTTTTTTTAATTAACATTTTTTGAGCAACTGCTTGATGAAGGAGGGAACTGGACGGCTGTGGCTGAAGTAAAAAAAAGAGGTATTGCTGTAAATCATATTTGGTTAATGATAGCTACTTTTTAAGCTGTATCTGGCATTTTTAAATTTATATTTTAATCTTCATATCATCAAGAATGTAAAAAAGATGATAGAGAACAAATCATTTATACTGGGGTTATCTGAGTAATTCCAATCACAGTGATTCGAACAAATGTGATTTTCCTTCAGTAACACCAGACACCTGGAAGAAACTAATTTCAATAGACAGAAGGGATTCTTATTGCAAACCCATATTTTTAGTGTAGTTTCATAAAGAAACACCTTGCCTAACCACATTTTGTGAGGACCTTGATCATTTCAGAGGCTCTTGGGCAGCTTCTCAGCGCGGGGCCCGAGGTCTCCGCAGCCCCGTCCTCCCGGGGGAGGCTGCCATATCCCGCCAGACACCACTAAAACCATGCAGAGGGATGATGATATGGGAAAGCTTTAGGGGGGCTCTGACCCTGCTACACACCCAATAACCCAACCCCGAGCCTAATTCAGTTGCCCTCGCAGCCACTGCTGTCCCAGGTGGGGTGGCCACAGCCAGCCTGGCGCCTTGCATGGCCCCGGTTCTACTTGCTCCATCAGACCAGGCGGCCTTTGAGGAGAGGTCTCCAGCCGGGAGGAGGGACTTTCCAGGGGAGGGAAACGATCTTGAAGAGTTTTATAAAGAGAACGTATCCATGCCCATCTGCATGTACGGAAATTTTTTCCAGATCAGTGATTTTCCTCATGAAATGGCTTTCCCAAGCTTTATACTGCAGCTGCTTAGAGTAGCTGGGGTCTGAGGTTGTTTTTTTTTTCTATTTGATGGTAATTATGGTGCCTGCATCAAGAAGGAGAAATGTAAGATCTAAGCTGTTACTACAGCATGATCCCAGCTGATCATTGCTGTTAGCAAATTTAACGCATGAAGGTTGAGGGTCATTTCATAGAATCATAGAATAGTTTAGGTTGGAAGGGACCTCTAAAGGTCATCTAGTCCAACCCCCCTGCCCTGGGCAGGGACATCTGCAACTA